ACCTCCCCTCGGACCAAGACTTTCCTTCACCATTTTCATTTGGGTCGAAACTCTCCCAATAAAATAGGCACAGGGTCTCATGGCCTCATCACTACAGATACGTTAGATTGAAGTTGCAAAAAAAAAAAAAAAAAAAAAAAAAATCTTTTTCAATTGAAAGTGAGGAATTTGAACTTTGTTGTTGACTTAAATTTAAATGATAAATGACTTAACTGGGGGTTTGTTTGGAAATTTGGAATATGGTTTTGAGGAATTTGAACTTTGTTATTGACTTAAATTTAAATGATGAATGACTTAATTAAAGATTCGTTTGAAAATTCGAAATATGATTTTCAAAAGTTATTTTTTTAATTTTCCAGTGTTTGGTTATTAACAAAAAATGAAGGTAAAGAAAAATGATTCATTTTGACGGAAAAATATTTCTTCAAATGTTTACTCGGAAGACATTTTAGCCTGTTTATCCGTTTGTCCCAATCATACTTGGGCTCTGTAGATTAACCTATGTTTGTTCCGGTCTATTTCATGATTTTGGCCCAACTTCTTCACAATGGGCTCGACTCCTTTTCTATAGTGTTGGGCTTCGTACCTGAACAAAAAAATTGAAGTTACATTATTTGTATATTAAAAATTTATTATTTGATATACTATCAAATAATGAACCTTCAATATATTATAACTAAACATTTATTCATGGTTCATATTGCAATGAATCATGGTCCACTGTATAATTTGCCCTATCAAGAATGATTATTTCTAAGACAAGTTTCTTGACTTTGTCATAATATAGTGTCATTTATTTTTGATTCCTAATCAGATTCCTATTTCCTAATTAGACGGTCAATTTTATATGTGTGGTTCAATTAATAACGATTGATTCAAAACAATAATTTTAACCACTGTGTAAAAAAAATATAATGAAAAAACAGCATTTTGCATCCTTATATTTATATATAACATAGTGGTTTTTAATCTTTCCGTCGTTAACATGTGCATTATTGATCATCTAACTTTTCATGAGATGGTAGCTTTTGTTTCTATTTTCACAAAGTGGCGATTTTAATTTCTAAACTTATTAGTAAACATTTTAAATGACTTAAAATTGTAAATTATATTTGTATCCCTATATTGACAATTGCCTGGATATGATTTCGTGTTATATTACGGGAATTACAAGATTAACAATCACAAATTTTATTTTATTTTTTCCCAACGAAAATTATTATTTCAATTACAAGAGATCGATTAATCTACTTGGAAGTTATAACTCTCACATTCTTTAATCTACTCGGAATTGTTCTATTGAACTTGGGGGTGTGGTTGAGTAGAAGATACTTATTTATCATTAACCAAGGTCAATGGTTTGATTCTTGACTTTGGATATGGAGTAATATTAAATCTTTAGGTCAACTGTCCCACTCAAAAGAGATGCGTATAATTCAGCGATGAGATTAGTCACTGTATTCGACGGTGAAAATTTTGGGTACACAAAAAAGAAAAAAAAAAGTTTGTTCTATTGATTTACAACACAATGCAATTATTTTAAATAATTTTTCTGTTCCAATTAGCGGGGCAATTTATAATCAAGACTTTTGTATCTCCTGTATGGTCTACTTTTTTAAGTCAAGTATACGTACACAAAACTCGAAGACCTATCAAATGTGGAGAAATTAAAGTATCAGTTGAACGAAGATTTTGAATCATTCAAGCTGCCACGCTGACTTGGGTCAAGAGACTGAGTATATTTTATTGAATGATTAAAGTTTATAACACTGATAAAAAATTAAAAAAAAAAATTAAAAAAAAAAAAGAAGAAGAAGAAGAAGAAGATAAGTGTACTCTCAGGAAATATAATTCATATAAAATGTTTAGATTGAATTAAATGATAAAAGATAGAAACACAAATTATGGATCACTATGTCACGTCAATAGGGAGTAAAAAAAAAAAAAAAAGAATTCATACAAGTCTTGTTTGTAAACAACTCCTTTTTAGCTTAGTTTTTTGTTGTTTTACCTATTTTAACTTTAATTTGATATTTAAACAAAAATAAAAACTAAAGTATATGTTTGGTAACTAACATTTTCAATAACTTTTTTTAGGCAAAACGCCCTCTTTTTAATCTCATAAATTGTTAGGATCGATACGGTTCACAATGTCAAAATACAAAAGCAACTTGGACTGAAAAGAATGAGAATATTTCTAGTGTAAGATTTAAAATAAATCATACACACAATAAATGCAATTTGAATAAGGATTTTCTGCAAAAGGATATTACAATAGGAATTACAAATATAACTCTCTATTCTACCCTCTATATTTTTGCTATGCTAATGGGAGGATTCCTGATGAAATGGGATGAGATTGGATGAAGAGGAGTTGCCTATTTATAGCAAACTCACTCCTGCAAATTCCTCTTGCTCTTTTTCAGGAATGAGCACCTTGCTCTTTTTCAGAGATGAGCACCTTGCTCTTTCTCAGGAATGAGCACCTTGCTCTTTCTCAAAGATAAGCACCTTGCTCTTTCTCATGAATGAGCACCTTGCTCTTAAATCAAGTGTTTGCTCCTGCTCCTAACCTCATCAGAAAAAAGGTTGTGTCCATTTCCACATTTAACTTTAGTATTTACATAAATGCCCTTAGGTATTCTGAAGTTCTGATGTCTGATGTGAATGCTCCATTTGTTTGAAAAATACTGTGAGGCACTCTGCTGGCCTTTACTTATTATTATTATCATTATTATTATTATTATTATTATTATTATTATTATTATATTAATAAATTTACAACTAATAATAAAGAGTTAATTATCGAAATGGTCCTTTGACTATAGCGAAATTACCAATTTGGTCCTTGACTATTTTTTTGACCAATTAAGTCCTTCAACTTTAAAAATCTTAACCAATTTGGTCCTCCGTTTGTTTGACCGTTAGTCAACCGTTAACTTGGGACCAAATTGGTAATTCGCTATAGTCAAGGGACCATTTTGGTAATTAACTTTAATGGTGGGCAATTCGATCGGTTCAGTTTTCTCGAACCAAACCGTACCAAACTAGTTAGATTCGGTAATATACTGAACAACCGAACGGTAATAGATTCTTGTATACCGAACGGTTCGATAAAAATGCGAATCGAACTGAATTGTTCGATAAAAACCGAACCGAACCGAATACCGTTTGAACTTTGGATTGCTATTTTGTTATATATTAGACTTTGGATATGGACTACATAAACACCATAACACATAATATAGAACTTTTGATAACAAACCATAAAGAAATCAAATAAAACATTTACGAGAGATACCCGTGAGAATATAAGTTGTAAAGCAAGCAGCAAGGAACTTAGATTTACTTTGTATTTATTTATTTATTTATTTATTTTTATTATTATTATTATTATTATTATTATTATTATTATTATTATTATTATGTTTAAAAAAATCAAACGGTATTGGTTCAGTTCAATTTTTTACCGAACAATTCAGATCGGATCATATCGGTTTTTTATTGAACCGTTCGGTATACAAGAATCCAACACTATTCGGTTGTTCAGTATATTACCGAACCAAACTAGTTCGGTTCGAGAAAACTAAACTGAATTGCCCACCCCTAAAGTTAATTACCAAAATGGTCATTTAACTATAGCGAAATTACTAATTTGGTCCCAAGTTAACGGTTGACTAACGGTCAAACAAACGGAGGACCAAATTAGTTAAGATTTTTAAAGTTGAGGGACTTAATTAGTTAAAAAAAATAGTCAAGGACCAAAACAAAGATTTCAAATATACTAATTAACAATTATTTTTTATCTGCTTAAATAGCTATACAAAAATAATTTTATTGTTTATAAAATATAATTATTTTATAATAAATAATTACTGTATAATAGTTAATTGTTTTTATAAAATATAGGCATATCTTGTTATATAATTTTACATGTTAACTACTAATCATAAAATTTTATATATGGACACCCCTATACAAACCACTAATACAATTTGCTATTTGTTGACCACTAATACTAATCGGAACGTTATGTTGTGAGGGCACGGTTCCATATTCATAATAGATTCATAATTTCTATACTGTAGATTCATAATTTCTATACTGTAGATTCATAAAATTTATACATATCATATTTTAAATACAATATACAAATTATGAATATGAAACCGTGCTCACCTTACAAAGTGGACACGTGTCCATAGCATAATTTGCCTAGTATTTCTATACCCCAAGTTCACATAGGAGGTGTTATTTGGATCCCACTAATACTAATTAACTAATCTAATGACCCATAATTTCTAGTCTTCTAGTTAGTAAGTGTGAAAAATAACAAAATAAAAGTAGTTAGGTTCAAGACTCAAGTCAAGAATACGGTGGCTGACTGACTTCAATGAGGAAAGTAAGGGGCAATTTTCAGTTATACAAAAGTCTCTTTTTTCTTTGTGTGCAACGCATTTTCTTTGTAATTGTGCACATATTTTTCATATAAATAAGGCCATGCACAAACTGATTCATGCATTCTCCGCCCTAGCAATTTCTTTTCTTATTGCAAAGAAACAATGGCTTTTAATTTTTCTCTAAGATCTATTCTTGTATCTTTGTTTATAGTTGTTATTCTAATCTCGACAATGATGATGGTTCCATCTGATGCAGCTCGCTTTCGAGGTATAAAACAAATCACAGGTTATATTATATGACGATTCCATACTATATGCAAGCTATTTATTTATGTTACATTTTTTTTCTTTTATTATTTTTTTTTTTTGCAGAAAAAAAGGGTTTTAACCATACCACAATAATGTACTGTCCAACTTGTGTTGGGTGTTGCGAACCTCCACCTGCTGGCTTTTGTTGTCAAAAATGTGGCTGCTAGGACTCCCTCTTCCCAATTTCAAGCAGCTAGAGACTTTCATTAAACACACACTGTTTTGTTCTGCTTTTTATATTTCCCCTAAGATGATGTATCATGTATTATAGATTGAGACTCTAGTGAATAAATTAAAAAAGCTAATAAAATGAAATGTGGGTTCGTTTCAATGTTCAAAGAAGAAAGCTATAGTGAAAACTACTTGCCTTGCATTTATAATAGGCAGGGTCACAAGAATCTCTTGTTGGAAAACTTATTTACAAACTACTCTAAGAAGTGATCCTTAAAAGAGTAAACACAAGGCAGCAAGAAAAAGAAATCGTGCTAATCTCAGTCGGACCAAGAATATTCTTCTTTCAGCATATTAATTGCTTCCCCAATATTTGCTACCACAGACTCAGGCAAGTTCAGCATCTTCTGAATCACAGATTTTTCCACTTCCAATAGTGTTGCGTTTATCTCTGCAGCGTGCCCGAGCTATCAAACAAGAAAGAAAATAAATCCATGTTTTAATCTCACCAAAATAAATGTTGTTGAAAACAAACCACACAACTTTGTATAACCAACCACAAACCTCAAGTCCCATCATGAGCTGCAATACTGATACTGGCGTTAGCACTTTCGTTGTGGTGGCTGATTCTGGGGGAGGTACTAGTGCTGTTACTCCATTTATAGTCTTGCTTTTGAGTTTCCTGGAAGCTTTTGCATTCTTTTGATTCACCTGTTTAGCAGCTGGTGCAGCAGAATCATTCAGAGGAACAGGCTTCGTAGACTGCAACAATAGACAAAGTGTGATTAAGTCCGCAAAAAAGATGACAGCAATAGCATTGTAGAATCAGAGCAAATCCAATAACTTTTGATGCACAAGGGATGTGATATCATGCTGCAAACTTCTGGAGAAAACTCAATTGTTGTTCTATGTATCACTTGCAATGCAATAAAATTATCAATGAATTAGACATATTGGCAGATGAAGCCAACAAAATTAGACCTTACTTTATTATACTGGCAAATGAGGTGCTTAGTAGGCAACTGCTGTGACTGTTTCTCTGTGTCCTGCAATGAAATTTTCAAGATCATTTTGCATAAATGTAGACAAATTCAGAACAGTAAGCTAAAAACAAGCAAGTAAATAATAATATGATTTTCATACATATATCATGTTGTTTCCTCGAAAAGTGTACATCCCTGCAGGAAAGAATGTACCCATCTGTCTGCCAACAGTTTGATACGTTGTAGATGTAGACTGGTAAGGGTTGAAGTCTGGAATTGACATTGACACAGAATAAGGAGGGACATAGTAAAGGAACTCATGAAGTGTAGGCATGATAAAATCCTGGTTAGAAGTGGGAAACTGTGGCTTGCGTGGTGCTAAGGCCGTCCTAGGGCGTTCTTCCTTGGGCCAAGCAAATGCCACATACAAGCACATTCCATTACAAGTTGTTCCTATAAACAATTAACTAAAATTAGATAATCAAATCATCAGTAGGCACAAATACACATTGAAACAAATGAGCGCAATAGCTTTACCATTAAGTGAATCCATAGCCTTCTTTGCATCTCCAGGACTGGAAAAACTCACAAAGCCAAATCCCTTACTGACACCATCATCATGACGCATGATCTTTGCTGAATTTACCTTTCCATAAGTACTGAATAGTGCTTTTAACTTTCTGTCATCCATGGATAGACTGAGATTCTTCACATACAGATTGGAAGCCTCTGGTTTCTGGTGATCAATGCTGATAGAGTCATCATCAACACATCTTGAGACCTCCTCTCTGTCAATTTTCTTTTGGGCCCTTACAACAACCAGCTGCTTGGATCCTGAGATGTACAAGAAATTAGCATTGCATAGCAACCAGTATGATGGAGAATGATCAGTTTCCTGCAGTACCAAATATGAAAAATCAAGGCATAAGATATAAGCCAGTGTATACCAATTAATGCACCATTCAGACCCTCAACAGCCCTCTTAGCATCTTCATGTGAATAAAAATTGACAAAGCCAAAGCCTCTAGACTTTCCCTTTTCATCCCTCATAATGATAGCATTGTGGACCTTCCCATATTTTGAAAATTTCTCTGTCAAGAGATCCTCTGTCAGATTGTCATCAAAGTTTTTCACATAGAGATTGGTGAATTTGAGGTCTTCACGTGGAGCCTCCCTCTCTTGCTTCTTGATAAATTTGGAGACATATCTAAGCAAAGAACCAAAAATAGAAGTTGTTTACTCAACTACCAAAATAAAGCCAAATCTAATAAAAGAAATGAAAGGGCATTGATGATTCACTGTATACCATGATTTTACAGCCTGATCTATCAGTTCATACACATAAAATAAAAATAAAAATAAAAAGGTGATGGGAGGTTAAGAATCTGAAAATGCAAATTCACAAATTCGTTTGCATTGCAGGACTGAACTCCCTTCCATGACCCGGAGAACAAACAAATATATGAGGTTTTCAGCATAAAAAAGTATTGAATGAAATTATCTTTTGCCATTAATCTGGAATCATGGATTAAAAAATATCATCTTATGCATTGAATTTCAAGAATTTGTTACTAGGGTGAATGTATGAAACTTATGAAAATCTAGCTGGGAAAAGTGAGCACATCTCTATTCATTTTAAAATTTTAATATTGAAGAGCTGCAGAGGTTGATAAACAATCCTACCGAACCAACAGAAGTTAGAAATACAAGGTTTCATGAAAAAAGTGAGCAGAAATAGACAATACAAGAAAAAGAAAAGCAATAATATTTTCTTATGGGCATGGAAGCAACAACAAAGTAACAGGAAACGTACAATTTTTTCCCTTCAAGCATTGTGCCATGGAGACAACTGATGGCAATCATGGCTGACTGCTCTGAATCAAACTGAACAAATCCAAAACATTTGCTCTTTCCATCTTCCTCAACAACCTTGCAAGAGACTATTGTCCCATAGTTGCTAAATATCCTCTCCAATTGAGCACTGGTTACTGAAGGTGCTAGGTTCTTGATGAAAAGATTGCCAATTCCAGATTTTCTTACTAGTGGATCCCTTTGACACCACATGATCCTCATAGGCTTCTCCCTCAGGGGAGTGTGGTTCAGGAGTGTCATAGCCTTTAAAGCTGATCAAAGTATCAAACAGAGAAATTAACTTCAAACAGTCAGATATTTACAAAGTGAAACGACCCAATCAATCTGAGATAATTAAAACAGACCCAAGAAAGCCAAAATTAGACGTAAACATGCAACATTTCATTTACATTAATCAATATTTCGCCCAAATAAGAACACTGATATCCTTGAAACTAGGACAAAATTGATCAAACGGAATGAGAAATCACAGTGCATATATATTTCTCCGATTACTCCGTACAGTGTTCAATGAGGAATTGGCCTAAATATAGCCAAGAAGGGATTCACGCTAATGAACCCCAGGGAGACACACATATGACAACAGAGCTTCGAAATAAAGCATGCATGCGATGCAATGAGGTCAAAAACGAGTCCATTGAACACGCAATAAATCAATGGACAAACATAGAAAGAATGAAAAAAACTCCACAACGGCTTCGAAAGAAGAGTCGAACAACATAAATCAAAAAATCATCAAGATCAATGCAAATGCATGTAGCGAAAATGGCGGTTTTCGGGCGGGTCATTACCATCAGAAAAACAAAGGAAGTTGACATAAGCGTAGCAAAGAGATCGCTTCGTGACCGTATCCGTGCAGAGGCGAACGGAATCCAAGGTGCCGACACTAGAGAATTTCTCCATCAAGTCCCTCTCGGTAGTGTCGGGGTGAAGATCCCCCACGTAGAGAGATGGTCTTCTGAGAATATCCGCCGCCCCCGGCAGTGGAAGTGGTGACGCCGCCGCCATTTGATCCTCGAGTAGTAGTATCAGAAAAACCCTAGCTAGGGAGATTTGATGATATGAGGAGAGTTTTTAGAAGCTTTTGCGTCTTAGGGGAGAGAGAGAGAGAGAGAGAGAGAGAGAGAGAGAGAGAGAGAGAGAGTTATAGTGAGAGTGAAGAGTTTGAAAGTGCAGCTATACGCAGAGGCGGTTATAACTGTCAGACACTGAAGAAGCCTTGATCATAGGGATCAAAGTACGGCCTCTCGTCTATATCTGACACGTGTAACGCCATTTCCGCTGGGTTTGTTATGGGGAGAAGTGACAACGTAGTTTTAACTCCATCAGTTTATCTGAACTGCTTTATATTAAGTTAGCCTGAACGACGCGGTTAATTTGAAGTTACTTTTTTTTTTTTGCTTTAAGATTATTATGAGAAATTTGTTTCCATATTCACACTCAAAGAAAAAGGATCGGTGCCCCAAAATAAATAATTGAGTAGTTAGAACATGATATCAATTTATAATTTGTTGTTATTAAATTCAATGACTTTAATTATATTATTATTTGCTTTTCTGTTTTTTTTTTTTTTTTTTTTTTTGCTTTCATATTGATATTAACATATTATATATTAAATAATATTATTTATATCTATTTTAAAAATATATATTATGCATATTATATATTATTTTTAATATATTCCTTCATTTGTACAGCCATCAAAACAAATATATTAAAGTAGCAAAATGTTCAAAAAGATTGAGGGACATCAAACCACATAGAGTGGGACAACCACGCCCCATCAACTTTGGCAAGCGAATGGACTTTAAAACCACCGTTAAAACTAGTAAGAAGTTTATATGCATGGACAATCAAGTTATTATAGAAATGTTATAAGGAATTAATTGCAAGCTTGGAACATATAAAATGTGACATATGTTTACAAAAAATATGTTTTATTATATAAATTATAGAGTATCCTATGTTTTTTTTAATTTGTTTATTTGCAATTAAAAATCAAAATTTATTGATTTTTAACACACACACACACACACACACACATTTGAAAAGATGTAGGTTTAATGAAATTTGATTTGAATATACACTTATCGTTATCACACTACAATTAAAATTTTATTATAATTAGGGAAAATGGCACTTTTTCCCCCTTTGTTATATACTTATAGCACTTTTTCCCCCTAAATTATTTAAGTGGCAGTTTTTCCCCCTGATATATTAAATGGACATATTTACCCTTAAAATAAATATTTCATTTATTTTTCTTTTTCAACAAATTATAACCACGATTTTAAAAAATAAAATACATTAAGTGTTGAATTTAGAATATTTTAAAAATAAAAAAATAAAATTTTAAAAGAAAGTTTGAACCAACCGTTCAAATTGGATCCAAAATCGTGAACCGACGGTTCAAAATAAAACTCAAACCGCGATTATATATACTTATATGTGAGAGTCAATATAAATGCGGAAAAAAACATACACTATTTACAAATATTATAATTATAATTTAAGCTATTGTTAGTAGTTGTTCCGATTTGAACCTCCGGTTCACGGTTCAGGATCCATTTTTTTTCCAGTTCACGATTTTAATAAACGGAAACCCAAATATTGGGTTATGTTATGAATCATAACCGAAATTTTTTAATTTGATTGCTATAGTGTTTGGTTCAGTTCGAACCGAACCGTGGTCATCCCTACGTATAAGCAATAATTTGTTGAAGAAGAGAAATAAATAAAATATTTGTTTTAAGGGTAGAAATGTCCATTTAGTATTATCAGGGGGAAAAACCGCCACTTCTATAATAATTGAGGGGGCAAATGTGAATGCATGAATAACTCAGGTGGAAAAAGTGCTATAAGCATATAACACAGAGAGAAAAAGTGTCATTTTCCCTTATAATTATTTTCAAATAATATTGCATATATATTATTGTGGATTTGTGGTGTGATAAAAAAAAAAATTGAATTATTTAGGAGTTATCATTATCCATTATATTATTTTAACATCACCAATATTGCAAAAGGGTTTCGCAGGCTCCTAAAGCCTGAGTGATTGAGTAATCTGAATATATAGTCTCTATTTTTTTTTTTTTTCACTTAAACTTATAAATTGATAGAATATTATAATCTTCAAATCAATCAACTGCATATGTTAGATGGTTAGTTGAGTACGTGACTTGGAGAAATATAGAAAATGACTAGCCGAGCAAGTAAACAAAACCATTCATCTTAGTTGAGCGCCAACTCGAGTTACCTAACTCGACGCTTAAAACGCCTAATTGATCAATTAATCGGTCAGATGACTAAAAATCATCTAAGATTGAAATCAGCTTGACCTAGAGACGCTTAGACGGCTTTTTCTAACATTGAACATTACACAATCGCACCTTATACCCAAAAAAAAATGATTACAACTTTCACACAAAGGCAGTGCAGTTAATGATGTTTAGGGGGCGTTTGGTTCACAGAATCTTGGATTACCACCCCAGGTAATAGGATTACCTCCTGGAAGGTAATGTGAGATTTTGGGAATGTAAGATTACCTTCTATGTTTGGTTTGGATGGTGTAATATAATATTACCTTGTTTGGTTCAGGGTTATATTTTATGTTATATGGATCAATTTACAATAATATACTCAGTAATATATATATATATATATATATATATATATATATATATATATATATATATATATATAATGTTTGTGTATTTATTTATATCTATGAATGTATATCAAAGCTTAAATATTAAAAAAAAAAACTAAATATATAAATATACAAATATGTATATTTGAAATATATATTAATTTCATCACCGTTATTATTATTATTATTATTATTATTATTATTATTTTGTTATTATTATTATTATTATATTATATTATATATATTATATATTATATATTATTATATAAGGATTAGTTAATAAGGGCAAAGTTGAAATAATTCAAAATAATTTAAGATTACCTAAAAAAAAAATATGGATAATCACATTACCTTGAAATATTATCGTCACATTAGCTTTCAAATAATATAACATTACCTGATAATCTCATAACTTGAACCAAACAATGTAATATAACATTACCAGGTTCAGATTACCTAGGTAATCTAAGATGACCCGAACCAAACTCCCCTTACGATTTCGTATACCATGGAGGAAAATGGCATTCGAACGTAGCTCGAGAGTTCTTCCGGGTTCCGTTTGATAAATGATCACTCAATTCGAAATGTTCCCCGGTCTTTCTCGAGCTGCAAAACCCCTCCTAAGCCCCACCATCAATTTCTCTCGCTCTCTGCTGCAACGAGCAGACATGAGAGCATTCAGAGCGCTCCACTTCCAGAAACACCAATTCAACCCATCTTCAAACAGGCCCTTGTTAAACCCTCCAATAACTTCATGTAAATATTCCCCAAACCCTAGATTTTCCCGCCATTTATGGTCTACTCCTCGTCGCATGTCCCCTGAGGAATCGACCGCCGTTAGCCACGATGTGAACGGATGGGGTGGAGGTCCCAAAGAACAGTCCAGCATTGAGACTTTCTACGAGCCCACCACCGGCCGGGTCGTGACACGAAGAGCACAGTCCAATAACGAGGCATCTCTAAGAGAAGCCGGTTCGAGTACGGGAAATGAGGGCTCTTCGAATTCTATGAGCTCTCGTTATGAGTATGGTTCTGAGAGTAGGGTGTATGGGGAGGTTGTTGGGAGTAGAGGTGGTAAAAGGAAGGGGAAAGGGAAGAGTAAAACAGTATGGGTGTGCTCGGACTGTGGAAATACTGATGCGCAGTGGTGGGGGGTTTGTAAGGAATGTAATGCTGTCAATACCTTGAAGCAGTTCTCCCAAGGGGATGATCGTCCCACTGGTGGGCTTGGGATATCTGAAAAAGTAATAAGGTCATGGTTACCTCAACGTTCTGACAATTCGATGCCGATGAAATTGTCAGATGTGAACAAGGGGATTAATCAGATTAATTGGAGAATTCCCTTGTAAGAGAGCTTCTGTACCTGTCATATTTGCATCATGATTTCACTGTGTTGCTTGGTTAATAATTTGGTTTTCACTTTTATTTCATATAAGTTGGTACTTAAATTTTGGGAGGATTCTTGTTATGGTTACTGAAAAATGCAAATCATTAACATATCGGTATTTAGATCTGGACTCTTTGGAGCTGAAGTTGAAAGAGTGCTTGGTGGTGGTCTGGTTCCAGGTATTTAGTACATTTAGGAGGCAACATGTGTCTGATTACAATCTTTAGGGTATATGAGACCTAAAGACTAGGGTATTTAAAATTGTACGTCTCAATACAGATTTTTGATATCACTGAATCTGGATCTTTCCATTCCGTAGGTTCCTTAGTTTTAGTAGGCGGAGATCCTGGTGTTGGCAAGAGCACATTATTGTTGCAGGTATGACACATTGAAGGATTAATAAGTGTTTCAAGTTTAGTAAATATTTGAATGAATGTCGATTGTCTGCTCTGACTATTTTGATGTTGCATTCTCCTTCTGCAAGATTGCAGCTATACTCGGTGAAGGGCATGGTACAACTGAATCTGCACCAATTGTTTATGTCTCTGGTGAAGAGGTTAGTACATATCTTCTGTGGTCATAGAATAATTTGACAACTGATTGCATTTTTATATGGTGACTTGCAATATAGCTTTTAAATTTAGACCTCACCTAAAATAGTTTAGCCTTTAGGAGTTATCAGCTATGAAGCATGGACTTCTAGATGGCAGGATTCTATATTATCATAATGGTTTGCCTCAATGCATAATTTGGTCTTAACTACAGTCCCATTAATGGCCAATTATGGTTTCACACTTTCACCTTAGAATCAGAATCCATTTAATGAATTTAAATTAGGGTTGTGTATCTACTTTTGGCTAACAGTTCTAAAGGGACAAGCTCTCTATATAGTTTGAACTTCCACAAAGTGCATTTGGATTTTCAACCGAACGAGATTTGCATGAAATTGAATTTGATGCTCCTGAAAACGAAAGTTAATTTCCTCTCTGTATATACTTCTATAATGATATGAAAACTGCTGGCTTAAGGTCTTAAAATCTTTTTCATGGCAGAGCATTGAGCAAATTGGAAATAGAGCTGACCGTATGAGAATTGGGACCGAACAACTCTTCTTATACACAAGTACAGATGTTGAGGTGTAGCCTTTTGCAAATGCCTTCTTGATTTTTTGATTTAAAAAATTCTATATAGTTTATCTTCAGTTGTAACTCTCTTTAAGATACGTGCCATTTCTCTGACTTTCTGCTTAAGAATCAGAATTTTAATTTGTTGGCTTTCTTCAGGATATTCTGGAAAAGGTTCAGCGTTTTTCACCACGTGCTTTAATAATTGATTCTATTCAGACAGTTTATCTCAGAGGAGTAGCTGGAAGTGCAGGAGGCCTAACACAGGTGCAATAAGTTCTACTTTGTTGTAGCATATCATTATCATTTAGGGATCAATTGGTTAGAATAGAAGGATAATGAGAGCTCAAGTATGATAAATTAAAAGAAATCTCAAATAATAAGATTATTTGACATATTTTAATTGATTGCGGATGGAAAAAATCTACCTTTATAAAACTAAATATATGAGAAGTAAGCAATATATTTGGTAAATAAAAGATCTACTCAAGGTTTCTTGACTTTCTTCAAATGGTGGCCAATTTGTATTTGTTTGTTGGGGCGGGCTAACTGTAGTGATACTACTTGTATATGTGACAGGTCAAGGAGTGCACTGAAGCATTTCTTCGTTTTGCCAAGAAGACTAATGTTCCTGTTCTTTTGGTGAGTATGTAGTCAAGATGATGCAGGACTAACACCCTGAGCTTTTGCTATTGCCAATGTTTTTTCTATCATTATGTAATTACATTGAATGTCTTTGGCTTTTATTATATATTTTTAAAAATTGCTATCTAGTGCAATAAGTGAATCAGTGCTTTGTGATCACAGAACATATTAGTGTATCTAGAAATCTTAATGATTGTTCCTTTGTATTGTGATGATTTACTTCTAGCCACAAAGAGGCGTTGATCGTTAAAGGAATGTATGTGAATGATCCAGTTGAGATCTCGAGCAACCCATTAGGGGGTGTTGGGTTCAAAGGATGTTTTGAGATAATGTAACATTCTTGGGAATCTCATGTAACCTAAACATGTGGAGGGAACGTGATTCCCATGGGTGTTACAAAAAATGAACTAAAACAAAGTTTGAGAATTTCACTTTCCCTACAATGACCTCACGTTCCCCTGAACTAAACAAGGGATGATACAGAGTATAATAATATTCACATTCTTGAGGTTATGTGAGAATGTGAGATAACATGAACCAAATGCCCTCTTAGTGTATCGTCTTTCTATAATTACCTTAACGGCAAGGCTAAGGAGAATACTTAAGAATTTAGAGATGAATTATCTTGACATGGAGCAAACTCGTTGCAGTTACGTTATCAATTCATATTTTATAGCCAACAGGATTTATAACTTTATGTTATATACTTATATTTCATCTTTTGCTTGGTTCCTGAAAACTGTATATACACCATTCTTTCTATTTCAGGCTGGGCATGTCACTAAATCTGGTGAAATAGCTGGACCTCGTGTGTTGGAGCACATAGTTGATGCTGTCTTATATATGGAGGTTAGTGTTTCTATACTTTTTTCTTTTGCACTTTTTTAGCGGGTTGCATGGTCTGTTTTCAAGAGCATGGTTTGTTTGATTCTTTCCCTTTTTAGAATTATAGAAATTCAGTGATCTGTAATGGAGTTATGTTTTGCATTTGCATTATTTAGGTTGTGGTTTCATATAATCAAATGCTTATCTGAATTTGCTTAATAAGTGTAGAAGGACAATTATCTTCACATGCTTGGATGATCTTTAGCCTTTTCTTGTTTAGAATAAGTGAGAATTCTATTGCTAAGCTGCTTCAGCTACTAACAATTGCAGGGGGAGAAGTATTCTTCTCATCGATTACTAAGGTCTGTGAAGAACCGTTTTGGATCCACAGATGAGGTACTCAAGTGTTTTATTTTAACAGTCTGCTTCTGTTGCTCTATGCATCATCCTTTGTTTGAGCAGAAATAATTCATGATATCTTTTCAAGAGTGTTGGTGGCCTTATATTAGTGCTCTCATGTGCTATATAGACAAATCTGGAGGCAGATTTTACCTTGAAAGTTACACAGTTTTGGCACACATTAAACTTATGTTCACCTGGGGTGATTTTAAGTAAGCTATGACGCTATGTAATATCTTTAGCAATTCTCTTTTCTTATGACTACATATTGCCAGGTCTGAAGTGATTTTCTTCAATTGTGTGCATCCATGTTTTTATGTGTTAAACGTATGGGTAATCTGATGACATACCTTCTCTTTTCTATCAGCTTGGTGTATTTCAAATGTCAGAGTCAGGTTTACAAGCTGTTGCAAGCCCTAGTGAAATGTTTCTAAGTGAAGAGCATTCAGATTCTGATGTTTTAGCAGGGCTTGCTGTTGCTGTAGTTTTGGATGGATCACGAGCCTTTGTCATTGAAATTCAGGTATCTTTTTCTTTTCCAGTTTGTGTTTTGGCTTTTTAGTGGCTCTGTGTCACATATTTATCACATCTAAGCAAATGATATGTCACACCTCACTTGGAGTTGTATAGGTGGAAGAGCATTACTAAAAATAAAGAAAAGAGTAAATTTTGGAGTTGTACATCACTCATTGATAAATTAAACATTTCAATATTCAACCAGCCAGCATACAACATTACATTTGTAGAACCAAATTGAATAGTTTAGACTTAATTTTGGATTCTTAACTCACCTAGAAACCTCCATGGGTCTGCTCTTGTGATTAACATTCTAGCATATGAATACTAAACATCTAATACCCGGTGCAGGCATTGTCTGTTGCTGGCTTATCTATGTCAAGAGCAGTACAGGGTGTTCAATCAGGCAGAGCTGACTTGATTGTTGCAGTGAGTGATATTAAAAGCTTCCATAGACAGTCAATGCCAGGCTTTATGAATATCTAGTTTCTTTATATGTTAGATATTCAGCTTCTCTTTTCACCTACCATTCTAAAATGATGTCATCTAATATGCTGAAATAATGCAAATGAATTACTTTCTATTTCTATTCATGCAGGTTCTCACGAAGCAAGCTGGTCTCAAGCTACAGGAGAATGTAAACCACACACTTTCTATTATTTTCCTTTTTTGTTGTCTACATTTTTCCCAACATGTCTAGATTTCGGTTGGACGGATGGACTAATTAGACTATGCAAAAGAGAATTATGGAATTGTGGATCATAATTTATAAAAAGCTGCTTAGGCAGATTTCAGGTAAAACAGTGGTACAATATAACCACTAACAGAATGTTTAAGAATTTTATGAGTATCAAGAAACACAGAAATGAAAAAATAAAAAATGAATAGTGGGGGCTAGCTTAGCTACAAAACTATTCCTCCGTATTAATTTGAAAAGCAGTGGAAATACAATACCTATCATGGATTTTGGTTTGTTATCTAAATTGCAAATCTTTGCTAGGGAAATCCTGTGTTACTACTGCACCTTGAACTTTGTTTCAAATTTATAAAGGATCCAATTGGTTTTATCTAAAGACGGTTGTCTCCACTTGATTGATGTGCAGGGCATTTTTCTGAATGTCATCAGTGGATTTAAACTGACAGAGACTGCTGGGGATCTCGCTATAGCAGCAGCAATTTGCAGCAGGCAAGCTTTTAATATAATTTAATTTGCATTGCTCATATATCAAGATTCAAGTAGATAGTATGTTTTATTTTGCATTAGTCATCCATAATGAGAGGGGTGTATGTTGGCAGTTTCTTGGAATGTCCAGTACCAGTTGGGTTCGTGTTCATTGGAGAAATTGGTCTAGGCGGCGAACTCCGTACGGTATGTTTATGCGCCCAATCCAATCATCTCCCCTCCCCTTTTTAGTTCTGTTGTTAATATGGCCTTTCTCCACATAAATGATAAATGCAGGTGCCATTAATGGACAAAAGGGTAAATACAGTGGCAAAACTGGGATACAAAAAATGTGTTGTTCCCAAATCTGCGGTGAAGTCATTGGTAAAGCTAGAGCTTGGGGACATTGAGATTGTGGGTTGCAGTAATCTGAAGGAGATGATCAATGTTGTGTTTTGAAACCCCCTCCTATATATGTACACAATAGCCGTAGGTAGGCTAGGGATGAAAATTACTATTAAGAAAAACTTACTAGTGGAACCCCTTGACACCACATGATCCTCATAGGCTTCCCCCTCAGGCTTAGTGTGGTTCAAGAGAGAGTCATAGCCTTGAAAGCTGATCAAAGTATCAAACACAGAAATTAATTTCAAACAGGGAAGATCCCCCACGCCTAGAGAGATGGTCTTCTGAGAATATCCGCCGGCGCTGGCAATGGACGTGGTGACACCGCCGACATTTGATACTCAAGTAGTATCAGAAAAACCCTAGCTAGGGAGATGATAAGAAGAGAGTACGTTTTTAGAAGCTTTTGCGTCTTAGGGGAGAAAGAGAGAGAGAGTACGTTATAGTGAAAAATTTCAAAGTGCAGCTATACGCAGAGGCGGTTATAACCGTTAGACACTGAAGAAGCCTTGATCATAGGGATCCAAGTACGGGATCGCGTCTATATCTGAGACGTGTAACGTCATTTCCTCCCGGGGTTTGTTACGGCCTTACGGGGAAAAGTGACGACGTAGTTTTAACTCCATCAGTTTATCTCAACTGCTTTGTATTAAGTTGGTCTCTACGACGCCCGTTTGAACTTTTTTTTTTTAAATGTAAGATTATGGGAAATTTGTATCCACAATCAACACCCAAACAAAAGAAACGTTGCCCCGAGGTACCTGATGAATTGGTGGAACATGATTTTTAACATTAATTTTTAATTTATTGTTATTATAACTAATGTCCTTAATTATATTATTTGTTACCCTATTTTTTTCTTTAAATTTTTCATTTGATCTAAAAAACAATGAATATTATCAATATCTAATTTTTAAAATTTATATATAATGTATATTAGATATTTGTGTAATCATATATTATTATTATTAATATTACTTGTTCATTTTTTTCATAGATTTTCATACTAATTAATATAACAATTATCATGATATTATCCAAACATACTTTTTTTTTTTTTTTATATAATTAGTTATTTGTTTTAATATTATGGAGATGAATCATTTGTTTGAAAATAAAATTTACACCACTGTCACATATAAAATGTGACACATTAAAAAAAAAAAAAAGGTATAGGTTCATCTATCAAGTAACGGGAGAAATGATTCATTTTTTTTTTCTAAAATAAAGAAATGACGGACAAAAACATATTGAAAATGGAGAATTATTCTTCATTTTTCTATAATTTGAAGAATCCATAACTAATTCTCCAATGGGGAGAGACAAATAAATACAGTAATAGACTCATACTTCAATCCCTTAACCCTAGAACAACATTTCTAATTCATTTTTCTATGAAAACTTGAAAAAAAAAATGTAAATTTGAAAATTGGGAATATATATATATATATATATATATATATATATATATATATATGAAAAAAATGACCTAAATTATGTTATTTATTTTTATTTATTTATTTTAAAAATTAAAAACAAAATAAATGTCAACCAATAAAATTTTATTTTTATCATGCTTGCACAATATAATATAATATAATATATAATAGTAGATATTAAATTAAATTATAAACTTTTTAGATCATACATTTGAAAAAGATTTAGCTTTAATGAAATTTGAATTTGAATATACATTTATCATTTATCATTATTATTATAAAATTAAATTAAAATGTTATTATAATTAATTTCAAATAATATTGCATATTATTGTGGTGTAATTAAAATTTTGTAATAAAGTAGTAGCATTCAAAAGAAAATTTGAAAAATTTAGGAGGTTATTATTCACACCTTGACCTTGTACCAAAAAAAAGAGAGTAACTTCACACCAAAGACGGTTGTGCAGTTAGCATGGAGGAAAATGGCATTCGAACGTAGCTAACTGCAAAACCCCACCATCCATCATCCATCTCTCTCGCTCTCTGCTGAAACTCGCAGACATGAGAGCATTCAGAGCGCTCCGCTTCCAGAAACACCTATTCAATCCCTCTTCAAACAAACACTTGTTAAACCCTCCTTTAACTTCATGCAAATATTCACCAAACCTTATATTTTCCCGCCATTTCTGGTCTACGCCCCGCCGCATGTTCCCTGAGGAATCGGCCGCCGTTAGCCACGATGTGAACGGATGGGGTGGAGGTCCCGAAGAACAGTCCAGCATTGAGACACGAACCGATGACGAGGCATCTCAAAGAGAAGCCGGTTCTGAGAGTAGGGTGTGCGGGGAGGTTTTTGGGAGTAGAGGTGGTAAAAGGAAGGGGAAAGGGAAGAGTAAAACAGTATGGGTGTGCTCGGACTGTGGATATACTGATGGGGAGTGGTGGGGGGTTTGTAAGGAATGTAATGCTGTCAATACCTTGAAGCGGTTCTCCCAAGGGGAAATAAGGTCATGGTTAGCTCAACGTTCTGACAATTCTATGCCGATGAAATTGTCAGATGTGAACAAGGGGATTAATCAGATTAATTGGAGAATTCCATTGTAAGTGAGAACAGAGAGTTTCTGTATCTGTTATATTTGCATAGTGATTTCAGTGTGTTGCTTGATTAAGAACATGATTTTCGCTCATATTTCATAAGTTATATGGTTACTGAACAATGCAAATGATTCACATCGGTATTTAGATCTGGACTTCTTGGAGCTGAAGTTGAAACAGTGCTTGGTGGTGGTCTGGTTCCAGGTATTTAGTGCATTAATAGACATATTCTCTCTCTCTCTGGGTTTCTATCGATATGAATTTCCTGTGTAATTCTGTTTCTCATATATAGATAAAATGCTTTATTTGTCACATAGCACTTGGGGAATGTGTATCAAACTATCAACCACTGGTTACATTTTCAGATAATCTGTATTTGCATAAATTGAAATCACCAAAGCCACTTATTACCTCTTATGGAACTTCATAAATACTTAAAATTAAACACCGGTCAAATATACAGGATCTACTAAACCTCTGTGGCAGGATATAACAAATGTTTAGGGTTTATGAGACCTAAATACTAGTGTATTTAAATTTGTACATCTCAATACACTGAATCTGGATCTTTCCATTCTGTAGGTTCCTTAGTTTTAGTAGGTGGAGATCCTGGTGTTGGCAAGAGCACATTATTGTTGCAGGTATGAAATTTTGAAGGATTAATAAGTGTTTCAAGTTTAGTAAATAATTGAATGAATGTTGATTGTCTGCTCTGACTATTATGATGTTGCATTCTCCTTCTGCAAGATTGCAGCTATACTCTGTGAGGGGCATGGTACAACTGAATCTGCACCAGTTGTTTATGTCTCTGGAGAAGAGGTTAGCACATATCTTCCCTGGTCATAGAATAATTTGACTACTGATTGCATTTCCAGTCAAGCATTTTTATATGGTGACCTGCAATATGGCTTTTAAATATAGACCTCACCTAAAATAGTTTAGCCTTTAGGAGTTATGAGCTATGAAGCATGGACTTCAAGATTGCAGGATTTTATATTATCATAATGGTTTGACTCAATGCATAATTTGGTCTTTAACTACAGTCCCATTAATGACCAATTATGGTTTCACCTTAGAATCAGAATCCATTTAATGAATTTAAATTGTAGGGTTGTGTATCTACTTTTGGTTAACATTTCTAAAGGGACAAGCTCTCTATATAGTTTGAACTTCCACAAAGTGCATTTGGATTTTCAATTGAACAATATTTGCATGAAATTGAATTTGATGCTCCTGAAATGAAAGTTAATTTCCTCTCTCTATATGCTTCTATAATGATATGTGAATTGCTGGCTTAGGGTCTTAAAATCTTTTTCATGGCAGAGCATTGAGCAAATTGGAAATAGAGCTGACCGTATGAGAATTGGGACCGAACAACTCTTCTTGTACACAAGTACAGATGTTGAGGTGTAGCCTTTTGCAAATGCCTTCTTGATTTTATGATTTTAAAAAATTCTATATAGTTTATCTTCAGTTGTAACTCTCTTTTGGTGCATTGGTGTAATGCAACTATGCAAGTGGTTAAGATATGTACCATTTCTCTGACTTTCTGTTTATGAATTGGATTTTTAATTTGTTGGCTTTCTTCAGGATATTCTGGAAAAGGTTCAGCCTTTTTTACCACGTGCTTTAATAATTGATTCCATTCAGACAGTTTATCTCAGAGAAGTAGCTGGAAGTGCAGGAGGCCTAACACAGGTGCAATAAGTTCCACTTTGCTGTAGCATAACATAATCATTTTGGGATCAATTGGTTAGAATAGAAGGAAAATGAGAGCTCAAGTAATGATAGATTAAATGAAATCTCAAATAATAAGATTATTTGACATATTTTGATTGATTATGGATGGAAAATGTCCACCTTTATAAAACTATATAAATGAGAAGTAAGCTATATGTTTGGTAGATAAAATATCCACTCAAGCTTTCTTCATTACTCTTATGTCAAATTGTGGCCAATTTGCATTTATTTGTTGGGGCTAGCTAACTGTAGTGATACTACTTGTATATGTGACAGGTGAGGGAATGCACACAAGCATTTCTTCGTTTTGCCAAGAAGACTAATATTCCTATTCTTTTGGTGAGTATGTAGTCAAGATCATGCAGGACTAACACCCTTGAACTTTTGCTATTGCCAATGTTTTTTTCTATCATTATGCAATTACATTGAAATATTGAATATCTTTGCCTTCTGTTATATATCTTTAAAAATTGCTCTCTAGTGCATCAGTGCTTTGTGATCACTGAATGGATTAGTGTATCTAGAAATCTTAATGATTGTTCCCTTGTATTGTGATGATTTACTTCTAGCCACAAAGAGGCATTGATCGTTAAAGGAATGGATGTGAATGATCCAGAGCAACCCATTAGGGGGTGTTGGGTTCAAAGGATGTTTTGAGATAATGTAACATTCTTGGGAATCTCATGTAACCTAAGAATGTGGAGGGAACGTGATTCCCATGGGTGTTACAAAAAAAGAACTAAAACAAAGTTTGAGAATTTCACATTCCCTTGAACTAAACAAGGGAATGTGATATAATAACATTCACATTCTTGAGGTTATGTGGGATAACCTGAACCAAATGTCCCCTTAGTTTATCAACTTCTATAATTACCTTAACCTTAAGGCAAAGGAGAATAATTAAGAATTTAGAGATGTGTTATCTTGACATGGAGGACATGTTGCAGTTACGTTATCAATTCATATTTTATAGCCAAAAGGATTTATAAGTTTATGTTGCATTTCATCTATTGTTTGGTTCCTGAAAACTGTATATACACCATTCTTTCTATTTCAGGCTGGGCATGTCACTAAATCTGGTGTAATAGCTGGACCTCGTGTGTTGGAGCACATTGTTGATGCTGTCTTATATATGGAGGTTAGGGTTTCTATACTTTTTTAGTCTGCACATTTTTAGTGGGTTGCATGGTCTGTTTTGAAGAGGATGGTTTGTTTGATTCTTCCCTTTTTAGAATTGTAGAAATTCAGTGATTTGTAATGGAGCTATGTTCTGCATTTTGCATTATTTAGGTTGTGGTTTCATAATCAAATGTTTATCTGAATTTGCTTAATAAGTGTAGAAGGAGAATTATCTTTACATGCTTGGATGATCCTTAGCCTTTTCTTGTTTTGAATAAGTGAGAATTCTAACGCTAAGCTGCTTCAGCTACTAACAATTGCAGGGAGAGAAGTATTCTTCTCATCGATTACTAAGGTCTGTGAAGAACCGTTTTGGATCCACAGATGAGGTACTCAAGTGTTTTATTTTTAACAGTCTGCTTCTGT